TCTGGCATGTTGAGCAGGGTACCAAGCAGACTCTCGCACACGTTCTTCGTGATATGCATGGCATCAAGGCTGTGAGGCACACGGTGGATCTTCCAGTACGACAAGTCCCAGAAAACAGACCTCGTTTTCCATACCTTCAGCAGCGGCTCTGGCGCCTTTCGCTTCTTTCTCGGCTCTGGCGCCTTTTGCTTCTTTCCCGGCAGTGGGCAATCTTTCCAATTTTTCAATAACCCGTCTATTTCCTCGCCGCTCCTCGTACGCGGGCGTCTTCGGAGTTCGGTTTCACCATCGAACAGATCCTTGCGTTTCCTCCACGGGCCATCGTCGCGAAGCCACCTTCGATGTCCTATGAACACGGTTTTCGAAGACCCGGGATCTCTATCTAGCTGGCGATACGTTGTGTCATCCATGCACCTGACGCATCCAGAAAATCCGTGGACCACCTGCCCCGCGAGATATCTGTAACCGAGATAGTCGTGCACCGTCGTGAGCAGTGCGACTCTCATAGGGAAATATTCTTTCTCTGCGGCGTCCCACGTATTGGCTGGCGTTTTCCACAGCGTGTCTAGCTCCTCTTTCAGCAGCCCCAGATACAGATTGATATCGTTCCCTGGTTGTTTCGGCCCTTAAATTAGCATACTCATGTGAATGTACTTCCTCTTCATGCACAACCAGGGGGGAGGTTGTACATCCACACAAACACATGCCAGGTGCTATGTGTGCTTCTCTGGCTGCCAAACGGATTGACTCCATCGGTGCTCGCGCCCAGCACGATGTTCCTTGGATCCTTCTCAAATTCTGGGCGTTCGAAGTTCAACGCTTGCCACTGGCTCCCATCCTTAGGGTGACTCAGCATCTTGTCTTTTTTATTTATCTCCGGATCATTTGCATCATCTTCTCGCTTCTTATCCTTCCTATCCGCGTGCCAACGCAGGAGCTTTGCTACCTTAGGGTCCGCGAAATACTGCTGCAGACGAGGAGTGATCGGAAAGTACCACACCACTTTTCGAGGAGCTTTCTTCCTCTTCTTGTATCGAGTGACGCCGCACACCGGACATATGGTAGACTCCACGTGCTCGCCTCGATAAATGATGCAATTGTTCATGCACACATGGTATTTCACGTGCGGTAAATCCAGAGGACACACGACTTTCTTCGCCTCCTCGAAACTGGTCGGGCACTTGTTCCCCTTGGGAAGACGTTCGTACCAGAATGACATGTTCTCGTCGAAGCATGTGTCGGTCATTTTGTGTTTTACCTTCATCTCCAAAGCCATGAGCGTTACTTTCAGGCGGGTATCCTCGGGTCTGCATCCTTCATGCAATGGAGTAATCGCGTCTATCTCCAGTTGATCCAGCTTGGCTTTCTCTCGGGCGGCAGCTCTTGCGTTATCCGTCTGCTTGAGAAGCAGCTCTTGAATATGAGGGTCCTGCACCCAACCCATCGATGGTCCATCATTGTCTGCTCCTCCGGCATCTAGATCTTCATGATCATGCCCTTCGTCTGCTCCGGCATCTTCCTCATCATCATGTCCGATATCTTCTACATGATGACTGTGTACAGCATCACCGTTGTGATCATGTCCTGGAGATTCTTCGTCTTCTCGCCCGCCCGAGCTGCGGTGGTTGTCTTGCTGCCCTTCCTCATTTCTTGCCCGGCCCCCATGGACGACTTCATAGTCATCTTCATCACCTTGGCACCGATAGCCATCCATGAAACCACGCAAGAGCAGGTGGTCCCGCACCTGCCCGGAATCCGAGTCCGCAATAAGGCTCTTCAGCTTGCATCTTCGACACGGACATCTTATCTCCGTCTCGTTCTTTTGAAGTATCTCGGCCTTCGCGGAGCTCAAAAACCTATTCACGATGCCTTCGGTCATCGTGCGGACCATGGTCTCCTGCGGTGTAGAGCAAAATGATATTTTAGAACCAAGAAAAAATTTGGCATGACTTTCCCTAAAAATAGGACCAAAAAGAATGCATAGTGCCAAAATTCTCGCCGAAACGGAAATGAATCAACATTCCGGCAAAAAATATTGGCAACTATCGCATTTAAAATACCGGTACCTGCAAACACAAACATATATGCAACACCACAAATATACATAGATCTAGTTAGGCCACAAAAAATACATGTGCACGTTGTTGGAGCGAGTTAGGGAGAAAAAAAAAGTAGATCTACAACATGAAGATAGCTTTCCCCTTACTTACCTATCAAAAAAAGGTAATTTCAACACTTAATTTTGATGAATCTATGGTGCAAATGAGGTGAGGAGGAGGAGGCAGTCAACAAGCTTAGAGAAGGAGGTGGGGGGAATGAAGTGGGGAAAGTGAGTGTGTAGGTGTGGCTGTCCAAAAATATCTAGCTGGTCCCAGGTTACTAATGGCGCACCACAGAGACATGCGCCATTAGTAACCCAATATACTAATGGCGCACCACATAGACATGCGCCATTAGTAGTTTTGCAAAAAAGTAAATAATAATAATTTTTATACTAATGGCGCACCGTGGCACAGTGTGCCATTACTAGTTTAAATTAGTAATGGCGCACTATGCAACGGTGCACCATTAGTAGTTTTGCAAAAACGTAAAAAAAATACAGTAGTGGCGCACTCTATGGCTGGTGCGCCATTAGTAGTTCTAACTACTAATGACGCACTTTGCCCGGATGCGCCATTAGTATGTTTGAAAAAATGAAAAAAAAACATTTTGTTACTAGTGGCGCACCGTGTGCCTGGTGCGCCATTAGTGTCTTCCACTAATAGCGCACCAACAGATGGTGCGCCATTAGTATATAGTAATGGCGCACCACATGTTTGGTGCGCCATTAGTGTCATTTCCATCTATAGCCCTTTTCCTAGTAGTGTGAAGCACAAAGAGTAATTCTATAAGATCATACTTAAAAGATATAAGTGAAGCACATGAATCATTCTATAAATCAATGAAGGGCTATCTCATACTAGCACGGTTCTTAAAGGAAAAGCAAAAAAAAACACAAAAGGCACAAATCATGTAAAAAAACCCGAGGTATACCAATAATTGTTGAAGAAGAAAGATGGGATGCCAACCGGGGCATCCCCAAGCTTAGATGCTTGAGTATCCTTGAAATATTTACTTGGGGTGCCTTGGTCATTCCCAAACTTGAGTTCTTGCCTCTCTTTATTCTTCTCATATTGATAGCTCCTCGATCTTCGAACACTTCATCCATACAAAACTTTAACAAAAACTTTGTGAGATCAGTTAGTATAATAAAGCAAATCACTATCTTTAGGTACTGTTGCAAACTCATTCCAATTTTATATTAGAACTATATCTACTGTATTCCAACTTCACCATGGTTCTTACCCCCCCGATACTACCCATAGATTCATCAAAATAAGCGACCAACACATAGAAAACAGAATATATCAAAAACAGGACAATCTGTAGTAATCTGAAAGTATAGTATACTTCTGCAACTCCAAAAAATTCTAAAAAAATATGACAATTTAAACAATTTGTACAGAAGTAATGTGCAAAAAGTTTTAGACCCATTTGACTTTCCAGTCAAAACTGTAAAATTACGCGCTACAGCCAAAGTTTCTGTTTTTGTACTATACATAGTAAACAAGCAATCTAATCATTCTAAAACCAAGGCTTGGCACATTATTTTTATAATACAATGGATATATACAAGGGGATTATTATTTTTAGAGAAGCTTCCATGATTTTTTTACATTGTTTCCATGAGCATGAACACAAGTGTTCAAGGTCGACCCTCATTTCTCCAATGCATAACCTTCCAATCACTTCTCTAATTGAAAACTTTTTTAGGTATGAGAGGCAAGTAATTTTTTTTTGTATTTTCATTCTTTTAATTTTTTTATATGTTTCACCCACAACTAAACAGAAACACAAAAAGGAAAAACAAAATCTACTTAATGAAGAAAGCACACAAGCATACACAAGAATATCAACCCCATGCTATTGCTCCCCGGCAAAGGCGCCAGAAAAGAGCTTGATAATCTTCAAGTGCAGGGAATCATTGTAGCAATTCCCAATGATGGAAGTGATAAGTATGGAGTGTCGAACTCACAAGGAGTTAAAGGTAAGATCAATATTCTCTCAATCCCTATCTGCCACTGATACGACTCTATGTACACTGAAAGCTTGCTTCCGACGACCCGCACCTTGTCAGTGTAGTCGGAACACCATGGTCCGCCAACGACCCGCACGAACGAAAGCACGCAACCCGTCTTTCCACCTCTAGCATGACTAAGAACCCGCAAGCCCGAGCCATCTTCCTCCATGCGCACAGTCGTGGGCCCGCCAACACACCACGACTGTCGCACCAACTCCAAAACATACAATCATACACAAAGGTGGCCAAATGGGCCAGTCCTGGCATGCTGGCCCGATAGCTCGCGTGCCCGGCCTATGGTGGGCCAGGTCGACACGTTTATAATCAGGCCGAGTGCATGCACAACACGACCCATTTACTTTTTTCAAGAATAATAGATATATTGCCCCCCAGAACAGCCTGAATAGGCCTAAAAACAGCCCAAAATCAGACGGGATGGTGGGCTAAACATGTTAGTAGGACGAGCCATTTCCCTGATGTGTCTGTGCCTGGGCCAGGAAGTGCGGCACGAGTGCCGGCCCGGCATGGCCCGTGTACTAGGGGTTTCTGGGGTGGGTTGTGCCGTGCCTGGCCTGTTTAGGCCAGGGCGGGTCGTCCCGGCCCATCTGGCCAGGCCTGGCCGCACAACGGCCGCGACCCCATGACACTGATCAGGCCCGGGCTGGGTCCAGATCTAGCCCGCGCCGCGGTCTCTTCACAGAAATCGGGTGTCCTGAACAATCCCTTCCCGGAAAAAAAACTGGACGAATAAATCCCCACTGGCCGCCGGCGGCGGCGGCGGCGCGATTGCGAGAGGACCGGTTGATTCCTCGATCGGGTGGGTTCCAGGCGGGGGCCATCCGGGAAAGAAGACGAGTGCGGGTCCAACAAGAAAAGGAGGATGGCGGCTTATCCGACCATACGAGACGATCCCTTGGCGGAGAAGAAGAGGAAGGTGGGTGTGTGGAGCGAAGAGGAAGATGACTACTTGGCGGCCAGACGCGACGAAGAATCAGGTCCGTCTCATCCATTTTTTTTTTCCATCAGTTCATACTATATTTATTTATTTGTTTATTTATGCTCCTGCTGCCTGCCTGCCTGTAGCTCCCCGCCCTGTGAAAATCCCCACGCTCGATCGCTTCAAGCCCCCGACCCGGTTTCACATTGCCGAGCTCTTCTCCGTCCGTGAATCCGGAAGCCAGGCCGTGCTCTCCGCTGCCAAATTCCTTCTAGGGGTTTCATCCTCCCTTGGTCTGTAGTATGTGTACTATATATGCAGCTTTGCTTTGCACCCTCTCTGTTTTGGATTGATTGATCCATCAACTTAATTTATGTATTGTGCTTGAATCACACAGTTGGTGAACCGCTGAGACGCTGCTCCGGCTTCTGGGTCGGTTGGGATGCGGAGAAGAAAACCGGCCTTGTTTTGACAACTGCGCGGCTGATTCGCACAAAGGACGCTCCTTACAGCGTCTGGACAGGCGGCCAAGAGTATGCCCCTAATGCTGATGTGAGTCAAATCTAGTGTTTCTTTTCCAGCCCAGCCGCTTCCACCCCCAAATAAATATTTTAATCCCCAGTGTAAATCTAACTAGTTGCAATTCAAATGTTTTTTTGTGTGCAATTGGCCCTTTATAATAACAAAAAAACTAACTAGTTGCAATTCAAATGTTTCTTTTTGTGTGCAATTGGCCCTTTATAATAACAAAAAATCTAACTAGTTGCAATTCAAATGTTTCTTTTTGTGTGCAATTGGCCCTTTATAATAACAAAATGGAAATGGCATATGCGATTTGCTCACCAAGCATTGTTCAAAAGTCTTGTATCTTTAGGTCGCTTATTCATTTGCTAGATCGCACCAGTGCAAAGGACATGTTTTTGTGCTAGCTATTGGCCTTTTCTAGTTGATAACAAAATGGAAACGGCATATGCGATTTGCTCACCAAGCATTTAAAAAATCTACATTCTGTTCCAGAACTTTTTTTAGGTCACTGTTCATTTGCTAGACGGCACCAATGCAAATGACATGTTTTTGTGCTGTTGGCCGTTTCTAATAATAACAAAATGAAAGCATCATATGTGATTTTTCTTACTAAGCATTGTTCAAAAATCTTATACATTCTGTCCCAGGACATTTTTCTTAGGTCACTGTTCGTTTGCTAGATGGCACCAGTACAAAGTACATGTTTTTTGGCTAGCTATTGGCCTTTTCTGATAACAATATGGAAACATCATATGCCACTTGCTTACTAGGCATTGTTAAACAAATCTTATAAAATCTGTTCTGGAACCTTTTTTAGGTCACTGTTCATTTGCTAAATGGCACTAGTGCAAAGGGCGAGCTTGTCTACTATCAGCCCCATTACGATATCGCTTTCTTGAATGTTGAGGTGGATCAACCAATCAAGTTACCATCTCTTCGTGAAAAAGATGTAGAATTTGCTCAAGAGGTTTTTCAGCTAGGAAGAGACAATTCCTTAAATCTAAGGATAGCATATGCTAGGGCAGAATATCTGAATCCAAACTTGTTTGAGCGGCACCACAACGTGTACTTTTGTTCTCCAGATGGCCATGACGATGATAATAATGAGGTAATATAGAGTTAGTATTATATACATTTGTACAACTTTGAGTTTTCTATGTCATTTTATGTTATATATTGCAAAATCTCATATTTTGTCCATATGAATTGTTGTAGTATGACAATGGGGGGCTAGTTATTGACTTGAATGGAAAAGTTGTTGGAATGGTCAACGACCCTGAGAGATTTGGGTCTTTTATACCTTCTTCCATTTTGCTCAATTGTTTGGATTCATGGAAGAGAAGGGGAGCCTTGGCGCAGTGGTAAAGCTGCTGCCTTGTGACCATGAGGTCATGGGTTCAAGTCCTGGAAACAGCCTCTTACAGAAATGTAGGGAAAGGCTGCGTACTATAGACCCAAAGTGGTCGGACCCTTCCCTGGACCCTGCGCAAGCGGGAGCTACATGCACCAGGTTTGGATTCATGGAAGAAATATCGGTTCGTTTTTCCTCTCAGCTCTTTGATAGTATCTATTATTGTTTGGTAATGTGTTCTCCCCTATTTTTTATTGTTGTTGTTATTAGTGGTCGAACTAGTGTCTATTTTCTCACTTTTACGCAATTTAATGGCCATAAGATGTTAAGATTTTGGAGGGCATGCCTGGCCCAGTGGTAGTCTCTCCACTTGTGGGCTGGAGGTCTTGGGTTAGAACCAGCCTCCTTGCAAAATTATTATGCAAGGGTAAGGCTGTCTAGAAAGCGCCTTCCCCAGACCCCACTTTGTTTGTGAGCTTTGAGCACTGGTATGCCCTTTCAGTTATGTTAAGATTTTCCAAATAGTATAGTCATTGTTGTGTTATATATATAGTGATATGTTTCAACAAGTGGTTGCAATAGATAATATAGGAACAATCATTTATAAGCGAATCAAGCACTGGATCTTTGATGGGGCCTAGACAGAAAGAAACAATTAGAACCACTCTTATAGACTATAAAATGTTTCATCATGACAACTATTTATAAGAGAGAACTGATAAGACTTTATAATTTTGCTTCGCATGTCTTTAGTACTATCTATATAGCCAAAGTGTAGAGTAAAGTTAAAGGGAAAACTTTGTTTTAGTTTTTTCTCTCATTTTTTATGGACATTTTTCCTGAACCCATCTTTTTTTAAGGATGGCTTGAATTTAAACTTAGGAGATATTTATGAACAAATGTTTTTGTGATACTCAATTGATCTCATCTAAATTTGATGTTTCAATTTTACGTAAAATCATGAAAAATCTTCTTTCAGCATATCTAACTACCATTAATGATTCATCCCCTTTGGGCCTTTTTGAAATCTATTTGAATCAAAATATTTGGTTAGTGATGGGAAATTTTAAACGTGTTAGATAGAAGTCCTTGTTCAAATAAAAAAGAAGATAGAAGTTGAATTCCACTAAAATGGCTTATTTTGGAAGCGTTACTTACCCATGTATACCTTGCTCGAAATATGTTAAATGGTACCTGATTTGGTGTAGGTACATTGGTCGGCCTCATCTTGGGATGAGGTTTGAGGCCATCAAGCTTCTAGAGCCTTCTCATGTTGACATGTTATGTCGTATGTATAACATTGATGACGGTCTTGTTGTTAGAGAGGTATATAATGCCTTCCTGAAGGTGCTATTTTTCCCATGTGCATATGGTAATTATTTGGCAATTGAACCTTAGGTGTCGAAAGGATCTAATGCTGAGATATGTGGAATTCAAAAAGGTGATCTTATTGAATGTATTAAGGGAAAATGCATTTCTACCACAATTCAGGTGGGTGTATTAGAGATTTGTTAGGTTAATAAAGTGAAAATAAATTACACTTGTGATATTCCGTAGCTTCATGCTCGTGACTTCTATGTTTTTTTTTTCCTGAAATTATCAGTTGGAAAATCTGTTGATGAGCATATGCAAAGGCCCTTCAGATAGTAAAAATGGCCGTAATACTGAAGTTCATATTTCTGTAAGTTCAGTTCTATCTTATAACGGTAGTTCGCTTGATCCCTGCCATTCATTCCTTTGTACAGAAGTATTATTAGCAAAATGTTAGCACTGAGAAATGTGTTATGCTAACTCCATAGGTTGGGTTATTTCAAACACTCAAAAAATGCCGAAGGACCGTAGAGTTGACTGCAACTGTATCAGACCTTGGAGAAGTTATTGCAAGAGGTACGCGTCTCCTCTTTTAACTAGTCCCATGATCCCATCTAGAAATTATCTAGATTATCAATTCGATTCTCAAGTATGTATATTCCAGTTTTTGTAGATATATTATATTTTAATTCAATGGTGTAAGCTTATGTGCATTGTGCAATACACTCTCTTGTCATCCATGTGATGCTTACAATATCATACCATGCTATAAATTATGTTGATATTTTGGGAGTTTACATGGCTTTGGTAAATGGGCGTGTGCAGCAAGTAAATTGTTGAGAACAGAGTTCATCCATTTTTTCTGTCACCAAAGCATCCATGCTCCATGTTTCTTTGTTTTAGGTGCAGCTTTCTTCACTGTAGTTATCTTGTCATTTCCTTTGGCTGTGGGCTTCTTCATAGGAGTCATGTTGACAGAAGTTTTCTTCCTAGAGTTAGGAAGACAATATAATATAGTTAGTACAGGTTCTTCAATCTATTTGCACATGTAAATATGTACAAATCAGATTAATACCTCTTGTAGTTAGCTATAGATTCTTCAGTCCTCATACCTTCTCTCCTGAAATGATTATTGAACCAAAAACATTACAGTGGGCAGTAAAAATGTGACTAAAAGCATGTGCAATACTCACACCTTCTCCTTGGAGTTTGTTCTCGAGCTTCTACAGGTTCTTCAATCACATGTGCACATTTCTTTCTGCAATGATTTATAAGATTAAACATAGTACTCAGTACTAAGCAATGATGTGTAAAACAAATTAACATGAGAGGACACATTAGTTTGAAGTTGGTTCCTCATCAACATCAGATAAGATCATAGGAATTCTTGTTCGGGTTCCGGCTCCTTGCATGTTTTTGTCGTATGGCCCACTCCCTTACATCTTCTGCACCTGACCACCTTTCTACCAGGTTCAAAAACAATCTCCTAATTCTCTGCTTCCTGGGTCTGCCTGGAGGCCTTTTTAGAGTTGGTGGGTGTACTTTGCAACCCTAGTCGACTTTCACCCAGTTGTGTTGTATCTAGTGAATCTGTCATGGATGGTACTGACCCAGCATATGATGCCCTAAACATCTCAATGCTGTAATAATTATCGGCATGTGCTTGGATCTCAGCTCCCCTGATTGAGCATCTGAAGGCCAATGCATGAAGGTATGTCTTCCGAAAAACTTACCACGCGCTGCATGAACATGTCCTATCTTTTATGTTTATGACTTGTAGCGTATCACGCCCTTGTGATTCAAGCATACTTATCTCTGCTTCAAACTCATTTCTCCAAGCAACTGTATCTGTATGGATCCCAATTGTTTTGCTCAATGCATTTAGTTGTTTCATTACACTTAGCAAGATTCAGCCTTCCAACCTCCTACTTGTTTTTCTCCTCACATTAAACTTACCCATAATGAGCTCTCTGATGCAGCCCCTCTAGGTCCTTAATTTGATTGCTATTTTTTTCTAACCATGCAAAAGGGCTGTGTATTTTATAGAAGAAAAAGAAAAGAGGTTTAGTACATGAAGACCAAGGAAGAAACAGCCTTGACGTGGCCTGCAACATTTTAACGGACCAAACTAAACTGAAACAGGCAACTTGCCAACTTACAACAACTACCAGTTTGCTCTGGCCCTCAACACTGGCCAGACTCCACAAATTGTAAACCACTGAGCTTATTATCCATGCCCTGAAGAGCTTCTAGTCAAAGCAAGAAGTTCTGAAGAGCTGCAGCCTGACCGTTAAATTCGATAGTTTCTTTCCCTCCAGATTGACGAAGCTCCCAGGAAACATAGGCTATAAAAAACCTTTTCTCTTGTTTCCTGAAATTGAAAGGCGAGCAGAGAGCCACCAGTCTTTGAAGCTGTTATGTTGGGTCCTTCTTTTGATTGTTAAAACTTTCAGATATGTTATTTATGAGCTATTAGCTTCAGAGAACCCACATCTATACCATAATATTTTGTGGCCATTCTAAAAACTGCTCCCTCCATCCCAAAATATAATGTGTATTAGTTTTTCAAAAGTCAAACATGTGCATGTTTATCAAGTTTTTAGAAAAAAAAAGTACTTCAATATCTACAATAGAAAATTTGTATCATCACGAAAAGAATTTTCTTATTTTATTTATTTTGTATTATGGATGTTGATATTTTATTCTACAATCTTGGTCAAACATACATAAGTTTGACTTGCGCGAAAGTTGATGCACCTTATATTCTGGAACGGAAGGAGTATATAGCATTTGGATTTGCCGCATATATCTTCTCCATGTGGTACCTTGATGAAGAAGTTTGGTGGTGCAGGGTACAAGTGCTGTGTGTACACTTCACCACGAAACTTTTTCATGAAGTTGCCATATCAATTCCTCGTAAACTCCCTATGTTAACAATCACGGAATAATCCCTTGTACATATGCAAACAGCAGTCTATAATCCCTTGTAAGCATCGGTTGACATTGTTCGTTGAAATATTTGTGAGTTTCTGGTTTTTGTAAATGGCTGGTCCAGCATTAAAAAGTAAATTGTTGAGAACAGAGTTCATCCATCTTTTTTTTACCAAAGCATCCATGTTAGGTTGTGTGACATATTGCAAAGAATTGGGATCCATACAGATACAGTTGTAAATTTGTAAAGTTGTAAATTTTAGGATTTTTTTTTGGCTAAGAGATCTTTTTTGTTTCTACCCTTGTGATTTATAAGACACTAAGTTTTAGTTGTGTGACATATTGCAAAGAGTAAAAATTAAATAATTTTAAAAAAAGTGTATTAGATATTACTTACATGCTGAAAAACATTCGCCTTGAGAGAGGAGTTTTGCATGCAGAAGAAGGCGTGGTTATTTGACACTCACGTTGTGTTATTCTTTCTGACAGGTACTAGAGTCTCTTGAACTGGCTGACGGAAAAAAAAGGTTTCCATATTAGATGTAGTGTCTAGTGGATATTAGAAATAACTTGTGTACATGTAATTTAGTGCCCCTTGTTCTGTTTTGCTAAAAAAAACAAGAGCACCTTGCTAATGTCATGTGAAGATAGTATCTCAGAGGGCTGTTAGACTCAAAGAAAGGCTATGTATGATCCCAGGTATACATGACCATCTGTCGGGCCGGGCCTACCAAAGCCCGATGCAAAAAACCTGGGCCTGAGCCCGGCTCAGCCTGGTCGTCAGGCCTAAAAATCAGGCCCAAGCCTGGCCGATTGTGTGAAAAGCCCGCCGGGCCTCGGGCGGGGGGCTATGTCTTTTAGAAGAACAATAGTTGGGATTCTGAAATTCTTTGGGATAGCTTAAAAAGGAGATGTGAGTTCATAATGCATGGAGGGAGGGACAAACCTATGTGGATGTTGACTACAAACAGGAAATTTTCTGTGAAATCTTTATACTTGCATCTTATTAAATCTGATGTTGGCTTTCCATAGAAATTTTTGTGGAAGGTTAAAGTACCTGCAAAAATTAAGTTTTTCCTTTGGCTCCTGAATAAAAAGAGTATTCTAACTAGAGACAATTTGCTGAAGAAGGGCTGGAAAGGAGACAAACATTGTGTTTTGTGTGGGAAAGAGGAGAATATTGATCACCTCTTCTTCTCCTGCTCTGTTGCTAGACTCATTTGGAGCCTGGTTGGGTGTGCTTTTGACCTTAAACTTATTCCAAAAGATTTGAATGATTGTTTTGGAAATTGGTTGAATAAATTCAACAAAAATGATAAGAAAATGGTTTTGACTGGTACCTTTGATTTATTATGGGCAATTTGGAATAGTAGGAATGATATTGTATTTGGCAGGAAAAATATAAACGACCCAATTGGGATCGTTAAAAGAATTTGCTATTGGATCGCTGACTGGGCTGTTTTGTAAAAAAAGGACCCAGGGGAAAGAATGGGGGCAAGACTCATCGAGCATGTGGCAGGTGAAATCTATAAAGCTTCGCAGGGGTGGCGTTTCGGAGTACCAAGGCTACAAATGTGATGCTTCGGGGAGCAGAAGCTTCTACTTCTTCGGATCTTGCCATTCTGCTTCATGAGTTTTTAGGACCTGTTCGGATCCACTCCACTCCACAACTCCGTTTCGGGAGTGGGCGGAGCAGCGCCGAACGCAACAACTCCACGGAGTCGAAGGAGTGGAGCGGAGCTGGTTGCAGTTGAATCTGGCGGAGTCGCAAAAAGCCAGCTCCCCGCAACTCCCTCTCCCCTCCCACTCCCCCCAACTTACCGGTTCGATCCAAATTTCTCTCTCCCGTGTCCAGCGACGCCCTCTCCTCCCCCGACCATGGTACCCTAGCGTCGCGCCGCCGCGACCACGCCGCCGCAGTTCCCCGACACCCCCTCCGTCCTAATCCAAACCCGTGCGACCCCCTCATCTCCTCGTCCACCTCCTTGTCCTAGGTGTTTGTTCTGCCCGACAACAACTTCGGCGACATAGGGTTTGGGTGGATCGGATCTCTGGCGGCTGAGATCATCCAGGGCTCGTCCTCGTCCCCGGCAACTCGGATTCATCATCTGCAAGGTCTGCGTCCACGTCCACGTCACATCCGGAAAGGTGAGATCCATATCCCCTCTCCACCCTTGTTTCTCTGCATGTTCTTGATTAAAATTCCTGATTAGTTCTACGAGTTCTTGATTCCTGGTTCTTGGTTCCAGTAAGTATTAGTTCTACATGTTCATAAGTCCACGAAGGATCTCACAGGAAATTGAGAGGAAGGGATGAATTGGGGGGGTTGTTAGAGAAAGGGGATGAGCGACAAAGAGAGATACAGAGTTTTCTTTTCTTCAGAGATAACGAATAGACAGTACAGGATTATTGTGGATGTTGTAAATATATATGTATTGCATCTGTTTCTTTTATTTGCCTTGACATGGAGGGAGTGAACTAGCTAGCTCGTTGATCCTCATTAGTGATGGAAATGGTGTGTCTTTCTGTGGCACTATGAAAGGGCTAACAGTTCAGTGGTTGCCGAGAACAGATGCAAATGGTTAATACCTTGTGTTTATTGATGCTGCAGCTAGTAAATTAATCCTGTTTGATTATGTGCATGGTCTTATCTGTGTGAGATGTA